GAGGGGCTGGCTCAGCTCCAGCTGCAGCCCCCCGAAACCACGCGGCCCAGCGCGGCGGGAGGAAGAGCACTCAAGGGACCTCGGTGGGGAACGGCAACCGGTGAGCACCACCCCATGGCACGGTGCCCCAGCTCCGCACCCTGCCAGTGCCAGCCAGCGTGCACCGGGACGTGCTGCAGAGGAGGTGCCCGCTCCCATGGGCTGTCCCCACGCGCCCCCCGCTCAGCAGCGCCTGGGTACGGGCGTCCCAGCAAGCACGGGAGCTCTGGTGGGAGAAGGTGCCGATGGCAGCGGCTTCAGCCTCCCACCTTCATCTTCACGTCCTCCTCTGCCAGCCTGAAGTGCTTCAGCTCGTAGTCATGGGGGACGTCGTCGTAGCTGTAGGGGAGGGGACCCTGCCAGGCAGCGGGGCCCAGAGCAGCCCCCACCCCTGGGCAGGAGCCCCCCGAGCCCTGCGGGCCCAGAGCCAGCCCAGGAGCAGCAGGGCCGGAGGGGCAGCCTCGGCGCCGCAGGCCTGGAGAAACTGCTGATTCAGGGCGCTGGAGAGCCCGGGGACTGCGGGCAGCTCCATGCTGGGCAGCGAACCCGGGCCAGGAGCTGTGCCATGGGGTCACTGCGGGGGACCCCGGGCCTGCCAGGGTCCTGCCCTCACCCGATGTGCGCAGCAGGCAGAGCAGGGCAGAGCTGCCCCGTCCCCTGCCCTGTCACTGCTGCAGCACCCCCCGTGCCCCTCCCCGCCTGCGGCTGCACAAACCTGCTCAGGGTTCGTCCAGAAGCGCCTCACCTCAACGTGTACCCCAGACAGCCCCCCGCACCCTTCTGGGGGCCCCCATCCCTCACACGGTCACCCTGGGGGAACCCCCGGGATTCTCCCACAATGCACTGCAGCAGCCAGGGGCAGAGGGTGGGGGAGCAGCGGCAGACCCTTCCCCGCGCTGCCCCGAGCCCGGACTCACCGAGAAGCCGCCCCAGGACGGGCAGGAGTGCCGGATCTTGGCGGAGGGCGTGATGGTGGCCGCCACCAGGCTGAAGGTGACGATCAGGACGCCCAGGATCACTTGGATGAAGCCCAGCACCAGCAGGAGCTGCAGCCAGGTCCGCTGGACGCGGAGGTGGGTGAGGCTGCGGGACGTGCGGCCGGTCAGCGAGCGGCTGGAGTCGCTGGGGGAGGGCATGGC